TCAGTGTCTAATCCTTGTAGTATTTCGTCTATACATCTGGTATTAGCAAGATAAATTGGTAAGTACCATTTAGATATTACTCGACAATATGCATCATAACTTTGTTCACATTTTCGTCTGCGATTGTGCATTTCGTTTACAGAAAATTATCCGTCAACCCTATAACAGACACATAAATCGTTATTAAGTACGACATGGTTTTGTCACCATGCTCAGAAGAGACACCCATCGTTTTACTTATGAAGATTTTGTGCCTATTTAATGTGGTGTTATACACTGTTCCTGTATACGTTCAGAAAGCCGGTAAAAAAGACTATCAATGTCAATTGTTGCTCACATAATTTTTTACTGATACGTTACACAATAATATGTCACTTCAGTACAAAACAATGCCACCTATAGTCCAAATAACCTTTTATGGCTAAATGCAAACAATTTATATAATATTCATAGTTAGTTTAACGCTTACTTCTTTCTGATTACATTTTATAAACGACTACGAACATCTATGTTTGCCGTCACCATAATCAAGGAGGTGAACCATATATAATGATTTTTACGGCTTATTTTCATGAAAGCTCAATCCGTAATCTATTTTTGACTAGAAAAATGGTGACTTGACTTGTTTGACTTTGTATTCTTAAGAATAACCATATTACGACAACTACATATTTACTTAGGTGGTGAGCACGAAATACGTCAAACTGCTTATAAATTGAAATAAAAACTATCTTCCAATCACAAAGATTACGAGAAGTCACGTATGATGGAAAAAAGGCTGTTAATAGCTGATAAATAACGACACATAAAATCCACGACAATATGTTACACGTGCGCGAAAACCCGTAAACTAACACACATAGTGTGCCAGTGGAGTACGTGCGAACGAAGCTAAAAACCGCGGAACAATGATGGAAGATAATGGACGCACAAAATGGCTGTAATTAGCACACTTAAACAAAAGCACGTTAAAACAAGCACTGGTACAGTTGGTTATAATAATGATTGTTTTCATTAAACCAGCCGTGTTCTCGTGATAAAAGTGAGTCCTGCACATACTTAATCTAAAACGAGAAAGAGCAGTTGGTCAAGATTGATTTATTCCAAAAGTCTTTATGGATAGTGATCTAGTTTCAGCGATTACGTCGGCTAATATTTTGGCTGAAATCTGTAAAATGGATGTAATTCCATGTGACTGCTCGCAATCATTGATTGTCCTAATATATAGTAAGGAATCCAAATCATCCTGTGATAATCATACAGGGATTACAGGTATCATTACCAAGATTTGACTTGGTAATTTCAAATAAGTTGAGCATTGGGTAGATTGTTATTAATAAAAGTAATATATTTGTAATATCCCAATGAGTATAAAAATAAGATTTTCTGATGCTTTGTGACTAAGTGTAATTTTAACTCATAGATGGATTAGTTCAATAACTATCGAGCGCTCAATAAAAACTCGTGAACTGCGAAGACGAGAAAACCAGGATGGCTTCAGACCTGATTGTGACTGCATCGACCACACATTCACCATTCGTCAAGTTTCAAAACACAGACATGTTTATCGGCGTCCGACAATAATATTTTTTCTTGGCTTAAAAACGGCGCTTAACTTTATAGACCGAGCGGTTCTGCGGCACTGTCTGTCATTGAAAAGTGTACCTCAGAAACACATAAGCCTTGTGAAGGCTGTTCACTCGAACATTACCTGTCGAGTCAGAGATTATGGCGAATTGTTGTAGTAAGCCCATTCAGCTATTGTATTATTTGTCTACTCACTGTAATTTAGACACTTAATTCACCATGCTAATTTCTGTGTGTATGATTGAGCGCGTGTCTGCACATCAATCCTTAATCTATTCTCCCATTGGTTGTAACACATACATAATCAATAAATTGTCCACACTTGATTAACACTCAAAAATATATGTGGTTTTCAACACTCACACACACTCTTGGTCTGACTGTGTGCTTGTTTGCTGTGCGCTTGCGGATTTTATTAATCTTTAACAATAAAATATCTCTACAAGCAGTGTTCCCACTTCTGAATAATCTCGAGTGAATCCATAACTCTACTGGGAGATTTAGCCAGCGTTAAGTACTCAGTTAACGGGATATCATTTATTGTAGTCAGATATAAAGAAAAATAGCCTCTTCACTGTCATTTGATTTTGCAACCTGAAGTGATGTTCGTCAAGGCTGTCCACCATTTCCAGTTTTGTTCAACTTCATCACAGACATACTGATGGAAATAATGTTTTCGTCAACTGAAATTCTGGGCATTGATCTCCTACCAGGAGGTCCACTTATCGACTTACAATACGAAGATGACATATTCCTGTTAAGTGAAACCGCTGACAAAATGCATAGACCTTTGATAGTACTGAACAACAATATCAGATTGTTTGAGGAGCGTTTCTTCGTCTCAAAATGGAATTTGTTGTCCTGACCAGGACAAGTCTGAGTCAGCACTTGAACTAGAGATGTGGAGTGAAGTAGTCGAACGTGTGGACAAATTCACTTATTTTGGAAGTCTGATCAGCCCTAATGGGTCGGTGTCTGACGAAATTTCAGCACGGATTCGAAAAGCTCGTTTGGCTTTTGCCAATTACCGCCGTCAACATAAGCATCTGACTCTGACGAACTGGGTTTACGTCCATTTGTAGAGACATATCTCATGAAAAAACACTTCTTTCAAACAGGTCTCAAAATTGTCCCAACTTTTAAATTTTCGAAATAACATAATATCATTGAAGATTCGTCCTATATCATGCATCAACACGATGGCGTAGTCTTCGCTACTTGAAGAATGGACGTTATCAGACATGATGTGGCTGAACTCAATTAGAATCTAAAAGTGTATTGATTTGACCGCTTCTGAAGATTTTCACGAATTGTCGATGTGACGCACCAATTATCTTGAGACAGTTTGACCTTCAAGTGCTCGCAACTTCCATCAGTGAACAATACCCCTGAAGCGTTGCCGACGAGTTAAGTGTGTGATGGTTCGTTCTGTTCTACTTTACGGCTGCGAAACGTGGCCATTAAGAGTAGAAGATACTCGTAAGCTACTAGTATTCGGTTACAGATGTCTCAGAAATATAGTCCGCATCACCTGGGATACCACGACCCGCAATGCTGAATAGTGTTGGGGATGGCTGGAAGAAAGTTAGGGGCGGCCAAACCAAAACGTGGCATCAGTCCTTGAAGGCACTAACGTTTGGGCTGAACCATGTTGGTAGATACAGACTACTTGGTTGGGGTCCGCGTGACTATCGTAATCAATGGTTGGAGACTTTGGATGACGAGGCTCAGAATCGACCATAATGGCGTAGGTGTATGCACTTTGCCTTCCCTTAAAACCTGAGATTAAAATTAATTTATACCTTTCTCTCTACGAACTAACTATTTCATCCTGTGTCATATGCTTATACACAATATTTCTTTTATATATTACGGAAACATAGTACTCCCTCCCTCACTCCGAAAGGACAAGGTCACTTTGGAGCGTATCCAACGTCGAGCCACGAAATCAGTTCGAGGACTCAAATCTAAACCTTACGAAGAATGCCTCCATTCACTAGACCTTTACCCGTCAGAGTATAGGCGTCTTAGAGGTGATTTATTAATGGCTTATAGTATTCTTAACACTTCTGGACATCCTCTTAAACACCTACTTAAGCTTAGTTCGAATAATAACCTAAGGGGTAACACCCAGAAACTGGAAACACAACATAACAAGACGGAATGTAGACACAACTTTTACTCCTTAAGAGTTGTCAAAATCTGGAATTCGCTGCCGGCCGAGCTAGTCCAAGGGACTTCTCAGGAGTCCTTCAAGAGGCAACTTGACCTATTCTTAAGGACCAAGGACAGCATCACATTATGATTTACCAATTTCTTTTCCTCTTTTATTGTTAACATACCTAGGTTCCTGCCTGGAGGATTTGGTGATCCCCTGCTACTAGACACGGAAGCCTGTTAAGCGAAAGCTTCTTCTATTCCGTCCACAACCATTTGAACTATCATTGAAGTAACTGCTCAATTTGGTGTTCATCTTGTTGTGTTAATGAGGTGTGGTAACTTGGACCGATGCATATTTTTGCATGGACCTACGTTGTAACTGGCTGGCTGACATAACTTGATTCCTTTTTCTAGATCGCTTCGAAATCTTACTTATAAAGTAGTGCTAAGAATGTGATTCTAGTGTCAAATACGAAAATTTATAGTCAAAATCATGTGCAAACGTCACTGTAAAACTTCATAAGTTTTGGAATTGATCCCTAGAATAAATTGTATTGGGACTACTGACTACCATTTCGTGTACCTAAGTAGCTGCATAAATGCTGGTGGTGGCGTGAGTGATGAGATCAATGCAAGTATAGTGAAAGCTAGAGCGGCTTATGTTAATCTTGGCCACCTTTGGCGTCTTCGTGATGTCAGCCAAGTTGTAAAAGATTGGATCTACAACGCTCCAGTGACAGCAGTTTTGCTCTATGCTTGTAAAGCCTGGCTTCTCCGAGTTGAGGATGTTAGACGACTCTGTGTTTGACCATCGTTGTCTCCGAAGGATTGCTGACATCCAGTGGCAACACCATGTTAATAATGCACAGATCCCTAGATTAACTTGGAATGGTACTACTGACTATCAGCTTCAAATACTCAACTAAGTGTGTTATTTGTGTCACGATTTAAAGTAAATACAATTTAATTAGTACCTTCTCGATATTCTTTTGGTCTAGTCTTTTTCTGTTAGATTTATTAGACACTAATCATTAACTTGTACTTCTGCATTTAAGACCTACAGGCTTTTCGAACAAGCTCAAAGAGACTTGTTTATTATTGTTGCTTAACAAAAAGTCAAAATTATGCATGTTTATCTTGTTATCAACTCTTTTGTTTTTCCAGGTTCCTACACTATCTGAGTGAACTTCGTATCTGTAACATATCTACAAGCTAGACACAAAAGCTATTGATTCCCTAACTTTTTCAAAAGAATGTCATTAGAACTATGGCTTTTATCTCTGATATCCATCATAACAACCTTAGTCATAGTAACATTCATAGTAAGTTGATATATTCCCAGTTCAACTTTATATTTCAGCTCCTGATTGTAATGTACCTTACCACAGATCCATATCCGAACCTATCCAGAAGCAGTACAGAAGAATGTTTTTATGATCCGGATAAATCTGAATATATTAAGTTAAAATTTGGGCTTACTGAAAGACCAGAAAAAGAATTATCGGTAATAATTCCAGCTTACAACGAAGTTGAACGCCGTAGGTATAATTAAAACCATTGTACATTTTTCAGTTCCCGCAATGTTGACTGAAACATTAGATTACCTTCATAAACGAAAAGTAATTTTTGAATTTTTAGTTTATTTTAGTAAAAGGATTCAAATAAAAAGTTCACATTTGAAATAATTATCGTGAATGATGGTAGTAAAGATCATACATTAGAAGTAAAACAATGTCAATATACAACTAACTTGTAGATTGCTCACAAATATTGCAAACTCGAGGGTTCAGATACACTTCGTGTAATATCTTTAGATCGAAATCGTGGAAAAGGTGCTGCAGTCAGAATAGTGAGTAGTAATTTTTGAATACAACTGAGATTTTTTGCTTCAATCTTCTAGCTTTGTTCCTACTTCCTTAAATTGGTTAACGTCCTCAACTTTCATTGAGTATGCAGCAGGTTTGAAACCGATCCATCGATATTGGTTTAGACATCCGGATTGAATCAGTAATCAATTACATATTGCACGTAAAACTCAAATTGTATGTCTGAATTCAGCTTCACCTCCGGTAATGGCATTTTGCTAGTATTTTTACTGATTTCACCATACGCAACCGATACTGAATGTAATTATAAAAATGTACTTAACCCCATACAGAGTTTTTTGCTTCTAATTGTCACACTGTAACAAAATGAAATGGGGATGAGACAAAAAGATACTAAAATACTATGATAAGTTACTTTGTTGATACAACAAAGCCAATATCAATACTGGTCAACGCCTTGTTTAGTCTTGATGAACTAAAGCTTCAGTTATTTTACAGCAACTACTATGTGTATATACCGTTATTAATTTAATTGGACTTTTCTGTTTTAGGGAATGCTTTCTGCACGTGGTCGGATACTTCTGTTCGTAGATGCAGATGGTGCGACTCAATTTTCCGATATTGAAAAACTGGAGGAAGCCTTAGCATCATCTGTAGCTAATAGATGGGTAATTCAGACAAGTTTAATATTGTGTTTGCTTTCAATATTTTTTAATTACACTGAATTTCGACAAAACTACTATAGAATAAAAATGAAAGGACTATCTAAGCAGTATCAGGTGAAACATAACACTACAATGTAATGTACTTAAATGCAAATACTTCAAGTTATACGGTAACCTGCTTCGGTTTGGTCTCCCGTGCAGTATCATAACCCACACACATAAATGAAGTGACTTGTGTGTCGTATATGTATTTGGTAATGATCATACGATTGCCCAGTTTCGAATCGCTCTCCTTTGGGAAAGAGAATACTGACGGTTTGTTTTATGTAGCTGCTTTTCACAACAACCGTAGACAAAATTGTTTGTCTGAAAAACCACAATTATTCATCTAGATTTGGCAAACAATCTTAAAAATAGAATTCCCTTGCATGATTTCAATGCTTCCACAATGAATTTAGCTCATTTTTTGTGATTGTAAATCAATGAATCTCAAAGTATCCTAACGGGATCAATGGATTTAGAATAAAGTACATTTGTAAAACTTGTAAAATCATGTAGTTAGCTGTTTGAAATATATCGACTAATGAGGTAGATCTTCATTAACTGAGGCGATTAATGGATATTACTTAGCCTAACAGGCGATGTTGTCCAATTTAGGAGTAAGTTGCAAGAAGGTTGGGAGGGGGCAAGCTAAGATTCAGCATTGGTCTATGTAGACACTGACTGTTGGTCTGAGCCATGTTAATAGATGTAGACTACCTGATTATGGTCTGCGTGATTATTGTAACCAATTGTTAGAAACTTTGAGTGACGTGGCTCAGAACAGTTCGCAATGGTGGAGGTGCATCCATTCGTGGTGTGCAACACGATAGATAGATTATATGATTAGGTGTGAACATTAATTTGTAGATAACTTATTATGATCTGGCTTATCAACCACCGATGCATTTCCTACCGAATGACCCAAATAGTGATTATTATATCCTCAACAATGTTCACTTTTATTTTATTGCTTCATTGCATTAGAATGGTGGCATGGCGGTGATATGTGGTTCTAGAGCACATTTAGAAGAACAGGCACTCGCTAAACGTCATCCATTAAGAAATCTGCTCATGTATGGATTTAAGCTATTTGTTTGGCTTGTGTGTGTTCGTGGAGTTCGTGATACACAATGTGGATTTAAATTGTTTAGTCGACCTGCTGCTCGTTTGTTATTTCATAATTTACATGTTGATCGCTGGGCTTTTGATGTAGACTTGTTATATTTAGCTCGGCATTTCGATATGAATATTGTTGAAATACCTGTGCATTGGCAGGAAATTCCAGGTAATATTTGTACTGTAATGTACAGTTTTGTTTCATTTACTGTATTTTCTCCAGTTCAGTTAATTCCGAAAGGAAAAGTATATGTTTTTCTACGTATTTCTATTATTTATTTATTTGAACACATAAGTACTGGTACAAGCGAGCACCAGATACATATGCGCCACACAAATCTCATTTGATTCGTGTGAGGACTGTAATACTACCTGGGTGCCCAAACCTAAGCAGATGGTTTTCTTAGGGGGCCACATCCGGAGCCTTCGGCCTGAAGGTCTGGTCCACAAGGCAGTGGAGCATCGTAAGGAGATGCAATCCCATGGTAGCCAGTGACCAACAATAGGTTCATACACCATTTGTTCCCTCACGATCCTGGAACACCAGGGTTCTCTAACTCCCCTAGATGCACTCTCCGTATCCACCAATCCGTTTAGAACGCCGGAAATTTGCTTTTCGTCCTCTCGATTTCTTAAAAAACACCCCTGGTAGAAGGCAGTGAGTAGTACTTCCCTGGCTGAGGTTATATACGCGTGGTCATATGAGAGCATTTCGAAACGGAGAGCGGACTCTCCACTCTTGGCCGTACCAGGGCATTTGAGGGCCTGTATTTCTATAACAACATTTTATGTAGTATACACTTACATCTATATTCCATACCATTTTGAGATGGTGAAGATTTCTATGGAGTTTTTTCTCTAAGCTGGATTGTTTGGTCGTGGAGATTTCATTGTTCTTCTGAACGACATCATCAGCACAAATTCCATAAAAATATTTCATACCACTTGAGATTCATTGTTCCACCTAGGCAATATAACTCAACGAACAAAATTTCGTGATGTTTCACAATGCTTTGGTTTTGACTTTCGATGTGTTGGCGAGAATGACAATGATTGATTGTCTACTCAGTCAGAGATGTAGATAGTCTGACAGGTGTGAGATGAGTTATATATTCCCTTATCCTTATTATTATTACTCACTCACTTATTATTAATTGTTCATTGTTATTGGATCGTGTCGGGTTTTGGTGCGGAAATATATTTACGTTGTGGTCAGGCTAATCACGTGTTCTTGATCTGAGTTGTGTTGAAGTCCTGTAGAACAAACACTGGGAGGTAATCTAGTGTAGATATTCGTCTCGTACATGTAAACGTCTAAACCCAACCGACATAACATTAGACGAAGTAAAACTGAGCGTTATAACAACTTTCCTACAAAATAAACAATCTTCAACGTAAGATTTTGTAACATGGTATTTTTGGTCACATTAATTGCAACAATGTGAATATAAGCAGTGAACAATTGTATTTCCATACTCGTTCTCCTTGTAATTGGAACTAAAGGAGAGGATCACTGTATTACACCTCATATTCATGAAAGAACTTTTGAAGTAATTGATTGATTTTTAGAAATAGTCACAGCCTACTTATTGACTCATAATGTGACCGAGACTCGCATCATTTGCTTTCGTTATCGATTTCTTAACTAAGCTGTATTCTATTAGTGTGCATAAATCCGTCTGGTGATAATAATCAAGACCGTGTTTTACTTCGTGTTGACCAAACCCTATAGGCTAAAAACACGCAATGAGGAACTAGGTCCCTTGGCCTCAAACATCATACTCAGATTATACCCAGTTTTGGGTATCCTTACGTGGAAGCTGACAAGAATTTGAGTAATTCTTGATTGTAATCTCTGAATACCCTACTTTAAATCAAACACACCAAGAGTTGTCTGTTGTCTCATTCTATATTTTATATTAATTCGACCATTATGACAATTTTACTGATTTGATATCAATGTTGTGGTACTTATTAAACGAATACATAATAATTTAATAATTGAATTCATGAGTCAATATAAGCTATAAAAAACCTGGAATCACACTGAACAGCCGTTCATCTTAGAATGAGATTTCTCAACAATCCGCATCCACAACCCCCTCCGGGGATTCGAACTTAAGACTTATCTGTCTCGCGCGCGAACACAGTGCTGCTGAGGAGTCCCATATTAGGATGAAACGGCCGTCCAATGCTTCCAGGTTTTCCACAGTGGTCCAGCTTCAATTGACTCATGAATTCAATTATTAAGTTAGTACAATCTCCACAAGATCCCTCTGATTAGAATACATAGTAATATCAGAGAAAATTAAATATTACAACTGCACTTTTTGCTAGAAATTACTAAACAATTAGCCATTATTTCGCACTTAATATAAGGTAATTTACTTCTAAATTGTTGAAAACAGGAACACATGGTCTAATTCTACGTATGATTTCTGTCAATATTTAAATTTGTCTTTTCGAAACCTTAACTCAAACAGTAACTTAGAGTTTCTTTAAACAATTGTTATGAAAGTACTGATTCTGTATAAAGAAATTAATCTGCCGAACTATAAAAGCTGTCACTGTTGGTTTCTATTCACTTTAAGTTGAACATTTAACGACTCTTTGGAACAGAGTCATGGTTAGAGACCTTGGATGACATGGCTCAAAATCGTTTACAATGGCGCATATGCACCCACTCTTTGTGTTCTTCTGAATTCTTCATTTCCTTTTTTTTCTGTTTTCAAATTTATTTCACTAGATTATACTCCTTGAATAACATCTTCACAGCCTAATGTTTCCGATTACTGCTTATACTTTTACTACCTCTATCACTATGGGATTTGAATCGACAATCGTATCTATATGCTAATGTAGTATGACAACTCGAACTAGTGCAGGCACGTACGAATTTCTATGTTGTAGCTGACTGACTGACTCTTTGCAACTCGAGAAACAAAAGTCCCATTTTCATGACCAGTGTTACATATAATTAATTAGAATATTCATTTAAGTTTTTAAATGAATCATTTATGTGATTCATAAACTGTTTACATAGTGTTTGCCGTTCATGTTTCTTTTCTTACTAACAGGTTCGAAACTGGTCCCAATTTTCTCATGGATTCAAATGGCAAAAGATTTGCTTATGATTCGTTTGCGATATTCATTAGGGGCATGGAAAATTGACCCAGTTTACACTTGATATTGTATATCATTGAAAGAATCTCTAGTCATTTTTTTTTCATTATATATGTGCAGTTCAATGTATTACACATTCCATTATTCCTATTTTATCACCTTTTTAAGTTTTATTCTAACTCATTCATTCTTATTGTTAATTAAATTTTCTCAAAATAAAATGGCTATTGATAGAGTATTTTTTACAATAACTTAGAAAACTTTCACGTGAATTATGTCCAATGTTTATTATGCAATGATCTATTCATTAGAGTAAAGTTAACTTTGTAAAGTATCCATTTAGGAGAGTTGGAAAACCCTGATTCCAAACCAATGGTACACATGGACTCCAGGATCCTGATGGAACAAATCGCGTATGGACCTATTGTTGGTCACGAGTTACCATAAAACTGTATCTCCGGACGTTGCTTCACTACTTTGTGGATCAGATCTTTAGTTCGAAGGCTCGGAGTGTGGCCCCCTAAGAAAACCACTTGTTTCAGTTTGGGCACCCGAGCAGTATCCCAGTCGTCACACAAATCAAGTGACTTATGTGGCGCATATCTATTTGGTGCCTCCTTATATCAATATTTGTGTTCAAATAAATAAATAACAATTTTTGCGCTGTAGATGATGCTTAAATATTTAAAGTAATAAATGACATATCCTAGTTTAAGTAAAATATCAAAAAGACAGGTTCAGATCTAGTATGACCTGATCTAATATATGTGATTTCAAAAGTCTATAATTACTGAAACAGACAGTATTGAAATATACACCAGTGTAAGTAGATTTCGTTTATTTACAATGAAAAGACCAATAAATATAGTGAACTGTATTAGGTCATACTCGGATGTGGTGTCTGATACACCTAACAGCCTTAAACTGTTTAGCCCCCAAATGCCCTGGTATGGCCGAGAGTGGGGTGGGTCCGCCGTCCCTCTCGAAATGCTCTCACACGCCACGCGTATACAGCCTATGCCAGGGAAGTCCTACTCACTGCCCCCATACAAATCGAATGATTTATGTGGCGCATATCTACTTGGTGCCTCCTTGTACCAATGTTTATGTGTTTACATAAATAAACTGTCTTAATAATAGTGTAACTCTAATATTCTGCCATCTTGACTACGGCCGGACTACTGAATGGGTAGGAGAATGAAATAATGCAGAAAGTGAATTCTTTTTTGGCTTTGCAACAGTAATGACTGATGATCAGCCGGGTTCCGACCTACCTTTCGACAGATGATTAATGGCAAAACTCCATACTACCAAAACTTAACCAGCGGTTTTGAAAATCTGTAGTCTGTGGAGGATTCACTTAAAATCGATGTTTCTTGTACTCCGCTTTTAGCCACGAGCAATCACCCTCAAGGATTCTCCACGACGGAGTTGTTAGTACGCCCCGCCATAGTCAATAACACGACTTTCCTTCGAAATCTGTTTCTCTTTAACTAGCGTCCTAGCCAACATACAGCAGTCCAGCTTTCGTATCATGTTAACTATCTCGACCGAGTTTTCCATTGTTTTTGTGTAACTTTCACTAAAGGAACAGAAACATTTTGTTCTCTAGTTGACGAACACAAGACAACTAGGGAACCCGTATTTAAGTCTATTAGTAAGATAACAGATGAGTGCTAGCAACTGCGTCCGAGTAGTAATCATGCTTGACGACACGAACCATTTGCCCAAATAACTGAGTTAGTATTCTAACTTCGGATGTAACGAATAGAAAACAGTTGCTTAAGTCCCAGTTCTCAACTACTCGAGGTAAAACAAACAGTTTCTTGGATGGATAGTTGGATTATTTGCCCTACTGTTTCAACTAATTGAATTGCCTGGAACAAAAACACAACATGGAAATCTTACCTAGCTTGAACTAACTTCAGTGAGTCGAATAATTATATGTATGGGTTTGTTTTCTCTTAAGGATCTAAATAAGAGCGTGGTAGCGTAACCGCAAAATACACATTAAGAAAAAGCTTGCATTTTAATGGACTGTTAACGATGAGAAGTGTTCTAGAGAATTCCAGGATAACATGTAGGATATTTGTTGTTTGACTTGTTAATATTATTTAAATGCATAAATATTAGAACAAGGAAGCACACAATTTATGTGCTCACACTTCATCATCTGATCTGCATGCGGGGCTAAATAATGTCCGTGCGCCTAAACCAAAGCAGGCGGTTTTCTCAAGAGGTCGCTCTCTGAGCCTTTGACCTAGAGGTCAAACCTCACATGGCAATGGAGCAACCTTTGGAGATGCGGTCCCATGGTGAGCGGTGACCAACAATGGGGTTCATACGCCATTTGTTCCCTCACGATCCTGAAGCTCATGTGCACCAGTGGTTTGGAATCAGGGTTTTCTAACTGCCCTAGATGGACTCCGTATCCACCAACCTGGTTAAATCACCGGATATTCATTCTTCGTCCTCAATTTCGTAAACAATAGTAGTGCTGCAAGAAGGACTTTCCTGACAGTGGGTTGTATGCATGTTAGAACATTTTGAGAGAGAGAGAGAGAGCAGACTATCTCCACTCTCGACTGTACCAGGGCGTTTAAGGGTGTTTGAATGGTGATTTCTGAGCTTTTTACATTATACCCAAATGTTTTCACTAGCTAGCATTCATAGTTTATCAAGTTTTTTTCATTACATTCAACTTTATCTATCAAAAATAGTAACTGAAAAATCGGTCTTTCGCAATAATTAACTAATAAAATAAGGTTAGTCAGAGTGAGCTAAGAATAATCCAATTAGATTGACAATTTCTTATATGTTTAAGAGATCTAGTAAGTGAACTGATATAGAAAGACAAAATACATGAAGTAAAGTATTCATAGATACTGAATAATATCATAACTAAGCCACACAGTCAACGATGTTAACTATTTAATCGAGTTAAATTACTTTCCCAGACTGATAGTTCGATCTTACTATTCACCTAATAGCTATTAAATTAGAAACCAACATATCCTGAAAAGTATCTTCAATAATAAAAGAACTACATTCACCAAACTATGTAGTGCTAATTTAGTAGTTAAAGCATTTGACTTCTAACTGTTTTCTTAAGGATACTAACCCCTTACCACGTTTAATTTGCTTCCACGAAATGAACAGAATCAATAGCTTCACTCAAAAAGTGTAGCTTAGGGACAAAAAAAAGAAAACGTACTTAGTCAATGAATTACATTATATTTTCTCATCATTTAACATACTAATAAACAGTTTAAATGTACGCGTTATGATATGGCCATCATATACCGGCGTAATTTACTGTTAACAATAAACAACAGAAACAAGCCTGAAAGATAAAGCAAATAATAATAGGTAAGATTTGTACAATCTAGTCGAATAAACTACTAATCACAGAATAGACAATTGACATATATTGGTTTCTAATCATCTTCTGGAACAAAAATTTCATTTTCCTCAAGAAACTCTGCTCCATTTCTACTTATCCATGCACCAGCGAAAATTGAGGATATTACAACACAAGTAATTTTGATCAATCCCAGAGGAGTTGTTAAAGGTCTACAGTGAAGAGCACCAGTTGATGAACATGAACCAGGTTCTCCGGAATAGCATTGCATTCCTCTTGTAGGCAAACCTTTCCGATATTGGCAACGTAGGACATTTTCAATCAACCGCTTACTTAACATCTATAAAATTATTATTTAGAAAACCATTTAAATTATATGCTTCTTTATCTATATAAACGTGAACTGATATCAAACAAAAACCGAGAGTGTAACTTTAAGAGATTCTATTTACTGAACACTTTGTTTTATAACGGTCAAATGTAGTCTCCACGGTGAAAATGTGGGATATATTTCTTCGATGATCAGTAACCAACTAATCACTGTCTAGTAAATTTTAAAGATTGTTAGAGAGACTCTTGCAAAGACGTTCAAGCATCCACAAAACAACACTAATCGATAGTTCTAAAGTTCAGTTAGTATGTGACAAAGCAGTTGCACTGGAGCGAATAGACACACTATATTGAAGTCTCAATTCCAAAAGTTCCGGTTCTACATTTACACAAGTTTTCTTCGTTAACATTCTCTCCCTGTAAAAATTTGAACTGATACACATCAATACTTTTATCGATCGATCCTCGAGTATCACACAACAAGTAGTGATTATTAAACGAAATTGCAAACAACCGTTTTGGTTAATAATATAGATGTAAAGGGGCCCCCAAATGCCCTGGTACGACCGTGAGTGGGGTGGGCCCACCCTCCCTTTCGAAATGCTCTCACATGGCCACGCGTATATAGCCTCTGCCATAGAAGTCCTACTCACTGCCTTCTCGTGGCATTACTGTTATTTACGAAATTGGGAAGACGAAAAGCGAATATCCGGCGTTTTAACCGGATTCCAAACCAATGGTGCACATGGACTCCAGTATCCTGAAGGAACAAATGACGTATGAACCAATCGCTGGTCACCGGCTACCATGGGACTGCATCTCCTCACGATGCTCCATTGCCTTGTGGGTCAGACCTTAAGGTCAAAGGCTCGGGGAGTGGCCCTTTAAGAAAACCGTCTACTTCGGTCTGGGCACTCGAGGAGTATCCCAGGGTTCACACAAACCACGTGACTTATGTGGCGCATATCTATTTGGTGCCTCCTTGAACCAATATTAATGTTTAAATAAATAAATAAAAAACGGTAAGAAATCTGTACTACCAGCTTTTATTCATATGATAGTGCACATTTACATGTTTATTAATCAATAAGATTCGAACAACATCAGGTGAGATTACCTTAATAGCATTCTAATACTAAGAAAGGTTGACAAATGAGAATTCGAAAAGAACACATCACAAATAATTTAATGAAATCATTAGTGGTATTTCAGTTTCATACAACTTTTTTGGTGAGACTATAATTTATGAACGACCTTTGAGCGACGCTGAAGTGACCCTGAGAGTGAACACCTACTGATTAAGACTAAATTAGAGTTCTAAAGCAGTTAGAATTCTCATTGACAGTTGATGGTTAGGGTTAAAAATTAGATTTAGGGTTTTCATCACGAATTGACATGAGCTATAATGCCAAAACTCAATTTAGCCAAATGTATGGATGAATTTCGCGCCAAAATTCATGACTCCTTATCTTACATCTGAATGGTTCGCCCATAAATTTTAACCTCGTCACTCTTTTTCATTTGTAAATATGACTAAACTAAGAACAATTAGTGTAGTAGAGTAACATGAACTCATCATATTTCGCGGTATCAATCTTTGAAAACATTAGTACATATACTTTATATCATAACATCAAGTGTTCTCATGAATGAAGATTGATGAGAAGAGTAATAAGTATGAAAGACCGATGAGAGATGTTCAAATGTTAATTAATGTGAATATTCATAGGATATATATATAGCTAAGAACATAGAAACAAGAGTATTTAAGAATATGTTAGTTATAGTTATGAAATCCTTAAAAATTAATAGTACTGATAAAAAGTGAGAAGGAATAATTAATGCCACGAAGAGAAAAATTGCACAACAAATATTTATGAATGAGTTTACTACGGTAAGGAATGATTGCCAATTGAATATTTCTGGAAACCTAAATTTGGTTTGTCATTTTATGGCAATTGATTTGACAAATCGTAAATCTGAGTTCTTAATTTATTTATCTGGAAGGAATTTTAGACATCATAGCCACGGGCAAGCAGATGGCGTGCGACTACACTTGTTATTTTAATCTGAGCTTCTGTGGAGTGTCCTCAACGATACAGACACTAATCCTCCTTTATACCCTTCCGATGCATATGCTTTGGCACGTACATATAAACTGAGAGATACAACCGGAGGTAACATGTGGTGGAAATCCGCTGATACATGATCATTTTAATGAGCGATTCCAGTGATATAGAGAGATAAGCTTGGCAGCTGAATATTTCCTTTTTATTATGGCTTTCAGTCGAAAACCAGTTTTTTTTCAGCTACTTCATCACTGTTGAAGCCAAGTTCTAAAAATAAAGGCTTCCTCTTCACCATAACATATTCCACTTTCTTCGCTTTAGTCTTCGCATATTTGTCTATGAATTTCTGAGGGTAACCATACTCATGTAAACAACGTCCAACCACAGTTAATTCCTCATCAATTCTATCTTTTCACATGATTGAATGGCGTTTTAGTTAAGGCTTTTTGTAGCCTATTATACACAAGCTATAAAAATACAAGTAAAATCCACTACATCTGTCCTTTCGATAAATACAACTTTCCAATCGACTATTTATACTACGCTACATACCAAGGTCTAGAAAATGAAACACAATGTTATGTTTATGCTCCACTGTGAATCTAATATTTGCATGTGCCATAGTGAGAAGTTATAGTATATGAGAAGCATGTTAATAATCATTACAGGTCACAAGTCAGTCAGTCAGCTACAACATAGGACCAGGCACATACATACATAGGTCCAAGTTGCTACACAGCACAACAGTGTGAACACCAAATTAATAGAAGTAGTTAATTCAATGGTAGTAATATATAAAAGAAAGATTGTGTATAAGAATATAACACAGGAAGAAAGAATTAGTTCGTAAAAAAAATGGTATAAAGTAATTTTAATTCCAGTTTAAGGGAAGACAAGGAATGTATACACCTACGCCATTATAATCGATTTTGAATCGTGTCACCTACAGTCTAAAACCATCGGTTACGATAGTCACCCAGACCTAACCAAGTAGTCTATATCTAGCAACATCGCTCAGACAAGAAGTCAGTGACATCAAGGACAGATACCACGTTTTGGTTTGACCGCACCTAACTTTCTTCCATCCGTCTCCAACACTAGTCAGCATTGCACGTTGTGGTAATCGGTGTTTAGACATACGTAACACGTGGCCCAACCATCATAGTCGATGAAAAATCACAACCTCACCAATTGATTTACCATCATTCTATAATACCCTGAGTCTAACCTCACCATTACTTACCTGATGATCCCAGTAGATGCTGGACATGTTTCGAAGGCATTTGTGGTCAAATACTAGTAGCTTACGAGTATTTTCTACTCTTAATGGCCACGTTTTGAAGCCGTAAAGTAGAACAGGACGAACTACCACACATTAAACTCGTCCTTTTATTGATAGACGGATATCTAACCATCGCTATAGGTGATGTAGTTTGGCAAGGGCAAAACGAGTTTTCTGAATCCATGCAGAGATTTCGTTAGACACCAACCCATGAGGGCGACGCGTTCGACTAATTCTATTCTATTCTTAGTTCGGGTGTTGACGCAGGCCACAAACGTATAATCAATATACCTGACGCACATCAATACTTTTATTACGGCGGTCAATGAGCAAGATAATAGGCATTGAAAGCGCCTACAAAATAAAAATACTCTGATAACTATATGAACTTTCCATAAAAGCCCTTACACATGTTTCGTATATTACCTATTAGGAACTTTACTTATTTCTCAATTGTCATGTACGTGTGGAAGTAGGTAGAGAAACCTGCTGTGAACAAGTCTCTTGAGGGCAAGTAGTAGATGACTAGATTTCTGAGGATGTGAAGAGGTGCAATTTTAGTTCATAATATAGGAAAATGCAGTTTTTGTGGAAATCCAGAGGTCTTTTCAGTGACTTTCATATGAATACCTGTAGGTTTATGCATAGGTCGTATTTTTTGAAAGCAATTCAGGGAGTAAACTAACCAGTAACTACTAATATGCAAATTCCAAGTTTCTAAACTCATAGGAAAAAAATTATGTGGAATGTCTCATTACCTCGTCTATGGTGAGTGAAAAAGGGCAACTTACAGTTGCGATTCTGCCTAAATAAACACCATATTTTCTCAAACAATTTTACCTGACTTCCTTTGAAGTTAATATTTATTTATTGTTCTTTGTTTGCTAGTGAAAGTGAGTTTGTTGTGATCCAATGAGATACTTATTACAGGACGAAATGCTCTTCATGACTACAAATTTAGGTTTATTACTTAGTAATGGAGCTAAATGATAAAATATATTGAGAGCGGAACACCTTAGACACAATATTCACACTCACCTTGAATTACCATTTATATTAGATATAGCGCTTACACTAGATCTAGTGTACAAGAACATCGGTCTTGTATCAAATATCTGTGAAGACCGTACAAAAAAAGTAAGGAATTTAAAGTCCCTTCTTGGTGTTTCAGAACGATTTAGAGTCATTGTTGGTTTTCAAAGTGTTTTTTTCAGTTACTCAACCACAATAGATCTAACGTTTGCTCATTGGGATTTCTTACTTGACATGCTTTTATGTGTAACAAAGCAGTTTGTTACTCAAATGGTCTCCAAAACCTGAAAGCAACCTACAGTCATCAAGAAGCGCACTCTTCGTTTGATAAGGCACAAAATACACTGTTGGGAAGAATGCAAACGAACTGATAACAACGGCCCGTACAGGCAGTACAAACATATAAGGAACATATGCACGAAGGCTATAAGAGAATACAGGCTTCAGTACCAGACAAAGCTAATCGGTAAATCTTTCTCGGATCCGAAAAGCTCATTCCGTTATGCAGCCTCTCTTCGACAAGTGAAAACTGGAGTTTCCTACCTGCTAGGTCCTAACGACCCGACCAATAATCACGACGATGCCGCTAACCATTTGGCTGAACGATACACTCAGACATTTCAACGG